GAGCTAGACTTGAACATGGCATATGAATGAAATTTCTTCTGGCTTTCTGAAGAACTTTAAAACATTTAGTTAGGACTTTGGTTGCTTCTTCAATTCAATTAAAAAATACTTTATTAATCCCAGAGGAAAATTGATTGCTGTAGTAGCTCAGAATAATAATAATAATCAAGTCATCAAAGAGTTGTTGTTCACAATTTGTCTAACTCTTTGTATTTGACAGTGACAGCATAGGGTGATGTAGTGCTTAAAATGAGAAAAGTGGCGGGCATAAAGATACATATTAAGCTTGAAAATGTATCTACAGATGCAGCACAGAGCCTGAGAGAGGTTTCACCATGACCATCTTCTCCATGAGTCAAACTCCAGGCTTTTGGATGTTTCCCTGTTCCAGCACACCTTTTTCGAATTGAAGGGTTAGCAAGTTTCTGCAGGACACGAGAACTTGCTGTTGGAGAGGGAAAACAACAAAACGTTTAGGATAGCGCCCCTTGATTATCTGAGTTTGACATTCATGGTGTGGGAAGTCATTAGCAATTATTTTGCTTGTTAGAATGCTGTTTTATACCTGGGCAACCGCTGTTAACTTTATGTTTTTCATAGATTCAACTAAAGCATGGAACATTGTCAGGGGGTTGGTGAAAGATTTCATTGTTTTATTTTTTCGGATTGTTCTGTTACTTTTTAATAAAACACTGGGTCACCTCCTGATTTTAGTAGCTTTAATGACTAAATTATTCATTTATTAGTCAAAATTTTCTCCATGTTGTTTACCGGTTGATCTACGTTCCAACGCTCACCTATGGTCACGAGCTTTGGGTAGTGACCGATACAAGCAGCCAAAAGGAGTTTTCTCCACAAGGTGTCTGGGCACTCCCTTAGAGAAAGAGTGAGAAGCTCGGTCATCCAGGAGGGGCTCGATATAGACCTCCTGCTCCACCACATCGAGAGGAGCCATTGAGGTGGATCAGGCATCTGGTTAGGATGCCTCCTGGACGCCTCCCTGGTGAGGTTTTCTGGGCACGTCCAACTGGGAGGAGACCTAAAGGAAGACCTAGGAAATGCTGGAGAGACCATCTCACGGCTGGCCAGGGAACGGCTTTGGATTCCCCAGAAGAGCTGCCCTATGTGGCTGGAAAGAGGGAAGTCTGGACCTCTTTGCTTAGGCTACTGCCCCCATGATCCCACCCCGGGTAAGCGGAGGAGAATAGATGGATGGATTGGTCAAAATTAGGAGGCTTAACAAACATAAAGAAGCTTTCATCAGAAGCACAAACAGCAAATATAAAGAAAACAGGAAAAGAAAATCTGAAAAAGTCCAAAGTAAACTTTTGAAGAGCTTGAGTGAACCTGATGATCTATTGACCAAGACCATTTTTAGTACTACAAGAAAATGTGTCTCTTTGAAAGTCAAACATTAAGAAAACAGGGATGACAGGCGACTTTTGCACAGTTCTGTATGTTTTTTTTATTATAGACAACACTTTTTTATCTCTTTAGAATTAAGAAGAGAAAATCCATCAAACATCTAAAGAGAATGAATCGTCTTTGATTACTTTTTTTTCATAACACCAACACACAGAAATCCAATCAATGAATTTCTATATGACAATGAATAAAACTTCTTTGATGTATTTTTGCATGATTAAATGAAAAACAAAATACATTTTATCCTCAACCATTTGCCAAACACTCAGGAATGGAGTTTCAGGGTGAATACAAGTAAAGTGACACGGCAGAATAGGACAATCAGTCCTGGGGTTGTTTGTTGAATTCTAGAGTGGAGAATAGTTAAAACGCTTTCATGGATGTCTAGTTTGTGTCCAATATGCCTCCAGGTTGCCAATACTCCTGTTGATTTGTTCTGCAAAGGCTATCTGTTTGGTTAGAGTGCCTTCAGATAGCTGCAGGGGCTCAAACAAATGAGACACAAACACCTTGGATTTACATTTCTGAAAGCCCAAATAGATGTTTTTAAATCAGGGATATTTTTTTCTAACATCATGTTAATTAATTTCATCTAATCATATTTTGCTTTGCATCATTTTCAAACCTTCACTATGTTTGCCCCAGATCTACTCTAGCATCTAACATCAGGAAAATATTTGAACATGTGTCAGAAAAAGTTTAGCTGATGATGAATAAATATTTGTTTAGGATGAGATATCCATGGTTAGATCTGTCCCATTCCTTTGCTTGACATCAGCTCAAAACATCCCTGTTTACAATGTGTGGCTCAATCTTATCGGATTAAAGCTTTACATAATTGAGTGACTTAATGACATTTTCATGTTTTGATATTTTTGTGCATGTGGAAAAACCTGACTGAAATAAACTGCAGTCAACAAATATGCATGTAGGAGTGTTTTTTCTGCTGGCAGTCAGATCAACTTCAAACATTTCACCACCGTTTTTGAATTAGCGTTAGATCTTTAATCCATCCCCTTCTACTCTTCTGTATTAAGAAAAATTAAATAACTTGTTCATGTATAGTACATTTTTATAGCTTGTTCATCTTATTTTCTTGTCATTCATGTTCATTTTATAGACTACCATTTTCTGACATTTCCCCACATAAAACAGCTGACATTTAGCACAGCGGCCTGTCTAAAGAACATACTTTTCTCAGGATGACTTTTTTTTCTATTCAGGTGCAAGAAGCTTGATGTAAATGTTTGACTTGATAATCAATGTAACATGCTCTTGAAGAATTGCATCAACCATGTCGTTCTGCATGCTCACATTTGTTTCATTGTTATTAATATATTTAGTTGTTTATTGATTTGTTGTGTGTATGTTGGTAATTGCAACGGATGTGCTGCCAGGAAAACACATGAACAAGGTCATGAGAGACAAGAGATATAATCCTGGAATGAAAACATTCACCTTTTACTTACTGTTGGGAGTATAATGCTGATAATTTATGGTTGGATTGCATTCAGAGTGATTTTGCTTTTTAAATGGAGAGAGTTTTTTTACAGATAACCCAGATTATGTTGTTATAAATCTCATATAATAATGCAAGTGCGCTTTCATACTAATTTGTAGCCAAAGATGTCCAAAAACAAAATGTTACTTATTTTGTGACAATACAAAACACCTGAAAGATGAAGAAGATGGAGTCTGCTTTACTGATAGAGGGAGCTTGTTCCAAAGGGTTGGTACAATTACTGAGAAGGCCCAGTCCCCCCTCAATCTCAGCTTAGAGCGTGGGACTTCCAGCAACACCTGCACAGCAGCCAGATGTGGTGGAGCACTGCTGTGCAGAGCCCTATACACACCCTATATACTGTATATATATATATATATATATATATATATATATATATATATATATATATATATATATATATATATATATATATATATATATATATATATATATATACAGTCACAAATCTGGCAGGACATGAAGACTGACTCAATTCGACATACAACGCATTACAGTAATCGAGGCGGGACATGATAGAAGCACGTGCCACTGTTTCCAAATGGGTTCTTAAGAACAGGGGCTTGATCTGGGATAGCCATTGCAAGTTATAAGAACATGCCCACACAACTATGTTTCTTTGTGCATCAAATTTATGGGCCACATCAATTTTCACCCCCAAATTAGTGATGACATTCTTCTCCCACTGGGCCAAGGAGGCAAGCTCAATCTCACCACCACCTGCATATTATGACTTCAGTTATGGACTCATTTAGGAAGAAATTAGAGGCCATCCAGGACTTAACTTCCTCCAAACAACCGACTAGACACAGCCACCTGCCCCTCAAGATAGAGGAAAATAGATTTTGCAGTGATCTGCATAGAAATTGAGCTTAACACCATGGTGCTGTAGTGCAAACAGAAGGGGTCCAATGACTAAGCCCTGAGGTACCCCCCATCTGAGTCTGTCCCATGCTGATACCACTTTTCTTTAATCCTCTGGAGGCAGGTGTTGCAGATTTGCAACAGTTAAAACCTACCTACCTGGTTACTCCACATACGTATTTCATGAGTCTTTTTTTAACTCAGAAGTACTCCTGAAGGACTTAGTTGTTTGTCCTTTTATCAAAACTTATTTTGAGCATAGACGGTTAAAGTGAAATGAATCTTGTTTGAATCTATTTTAGTCACTCAAAACGTTTTCCATTATTAATCTGGATAAAAGACATTTAATTCTGAGTTTAGACACTCCAATCCAAAATCATGTGCTCTCCCTCTTTGTGTGAGGAGAGAATAGCTACTTGGCTTAATTACTGAAACATGATCACAAGAGAGGGATATTTCCAAACTGTGGCCTATTTGTTTCTGCTTGATGTTATTTATATTTTAGAGTTGATTTTCCCAACATTATCCCCCCAGTGCCTGTACACAAATCACTGAATGACTGCTGCGGACAAGCATGCAGAGCTCTAACGCTGTGACTGTCCCTCATCTATGAGCTCATTTTCACCATAACTACTAAAGTAAAATAGTATTCTCATTAGTATAAATGTGTTAATATAGCAGACGATTTTATGGACGCTATATCATCCTTACAAATGATAGCTGACGTTAGCTATCCCTGTGTGTGTTTTGTAGTGTAATGTATCTGTAACCATCTGTCACCAGTGGCAGAGAAATGTGTAAATTTGACTGACAAAACACATGGTAGAAGTGGAAGACTGTACACAATGCCCTGACCTAATAAATGTTTTCTCTCATCAGCAAATGTGCAAGCAACACGATGATAAACCTTCCTGTGGAGGATCATTGGGTAAAGAAAATACGTGCCAGCAGAAAGTGAACAGTATAGTCATTTCTGTTTTGCCTTTATGTTCTTAGGTCATCAAGGAGAGTAACAAACAGTTAAAGGAAATGTGTTTAGGATTCAGGTTTTTATGTAAAATTTTAATTTATACATGCAGGACTTACACCAATTATTCATGTTTTTTCAGCTAAGCATCTATGATTCATCACAGCCTACATGAGTCCAGATAATTACATGTTTCCATGGGAATGTTGAAAATAAACCAACCTTGATGGCATTGGTGGAAATTTGGATCTCATGCAACTTCCTCATGGTGCCATCTCGGTCGATGAAGTAGGATGAGGCCAGCTGATGAAGAGCTTCCACGTTCTGGGTGGCATTTGCAAGCTTCCGGTCCAATTTGTTCTTGGCCAGATACATAGTCAACGCCTCCTCCCCTACAGGTTCAAAACAAATATCAAAAATGTGATCAGCTTCATAAAGACTACAATGTTGTTTTCAAATATCTTTTTTATTTTGTGTATTTTTGTTAAACCAACATGTTCCTGAAACACCAGTTTAAGTACGATTGGTTCTATGTGAAAAGTAACTACGACTCAGCTTTAAAAATAATGTGGTTAATCAGTCATTGTTTACCATGGGGGTGGGGTGGGGGGGGGTGGGGGGGTGGGGGGGGGGGGTCATTGCCATGTCACAAAGCAAAATGTTGGTTTACGTGGCTTTTGTTCTCCATCAAAAAATAAAATCTTTGTTTGAAACAGCATATTACAGTTTACCTTAGATTACTATACATCTTTGACTGACATTAAAATATGATTGGTAACTAAAAGCACAAGAAATATGTAAGAGGAGCAATATTTGTTACAGAACTGTGGTCTATTAACAAAATCATTTTCATAGGTGTTACATAAAAAAATTGAATAATTCAGATGTCATATTTGCAAAAGTTGTACATTTCAGTCTTATCTAACTTGCCATTGAAGTTAATAGCATGATGGATAAGTATAAAGCGTAAGTACCAAGGTGAATGGTTTTATCTGGAGAAACTAGATGCCCCAGCTTTTCAGGAACAGTCTCCGTATTTGCTGCTTTATCCTTAGCTGGCACCATCCCCAGACATGTCCCTGGATTTACCCCTATTGAGACTGCATTATTTCCAAAGGGTTCTAGTCAGATGGATTTTCCTTTTTACCTCAATACCATAGGAATTTTATCCTGGATAATATCTACAAATTTACAACTCTTCCATGAAATAAAACAACACAGAATGCGAATATTGTGATTTTTTATTGGGTCCTAAAACATGAATTAAATTAATTAAAGCATAGACAGCTGCATGTGGTGTTCTAACCAAAAAGCTCAAATGTAGCCATTTATGCATCTTCTTCTCTGTGATGTAGCTCTGTGTGACACCTCCCTGGATCATCAGTTACTGGTTTCCTCTCAGGGTGAATAAAATGGCCATTGTATACAGTCAGATGCACAGGAGTTGCTATGCAAATGCTGTCTAGAAAAGGCTTTGAATTCTTTTCTTTTTTTTTCATCTCATAATTCAGATAGAGTCAGATTCAGTTGAAGCAGCTCAGAGAAACGAAGTGAATCACCATGCGCACGTATGTTTTTACTGCACTCTAACAAATAAAAAAAATGTATTTTAATTTTAAAGCTGCTTTCCGGAGTTTTCCTCTTTCAGAAATTATGTATGATTTGTCAGAAATCCGTAAAAGTGATTATCTTATCATGTACTGTGATAAAATATAATCAATACGTCTTTTTTTTTTTTTGGCTAAGCACGCCCCCTGACCGGCAGAGCTCCATGCAATTGGAAACTGAGTGCCAACCAGAACTACCCAATAGCGACAGACTGCCGCTTAGATGCTTCAAATTTAAGGAATACCTTGGCTGATGCAGAGTTGATGAACTTTTCACGGACAAGAAAGTCTCTAAAATATAAATATATGAGAACACAGCATGACATGAAAATAATACTCGTAAAACAACGTGTTTTAGCTCCGTTTGTCAGCTACAGAAGCTCATTTATAAACAGAAACGTGAAGTCGCCATCTTTAAAAAAAAAAGAAACAGCATTTTTGTGTGATATGCTTGTCAGCCACTAGATGGTGCCATTAGATAAGAGAAACTTAAAATTTAAAAACAGTCCAGAGGCAACTGTTTGTTCTTTATGGTGATTTGGGTGAAACCTGTTTGCGGAGATGCCTCTTTGAATCAGCTTAAAGCTTAAAGATTTAATGAGGCAACATAACTGCAGATGTTAACATTTTATTAAAAGGGAAATACCACCCCTAACTAAAATTCAGTCCGTGGTCATTCTCCCTAGACTAGATAAGTGGGAAGAAGCATTTTGTAACCAGCCCAGCCGGTCTCCTTATCTGGCAGCATTCAATTTGCTTTAGCTCAGCATTAACAATGTAGGTTAATGGTAACAACTAGCATTTCATGTGAAAAAGTCCAGAAAGTTACTCAATAATGATCCTAATTTTTCTTGGCGGTCTTAATAATCACATCGACTACAAATGAGAATTAGTAACATTGAGGAATTACAGGAGATGATTTTGAACTGAGACTGCATATTAAATTATAAATGACACACACTTGTAAAGCGCCTTTCAGAGCCAGTGGACTCTAAAGTGCTTTACACTAGTGTATCATTCATCCACTCACACACACAATCACACTGATGGTGATGAGCTACAATGTAGCCACAGCTGCCCTGGGGCTCACTGACAGAGGCGAGGCTGCCGAGCACAGACACCACTAGTCCCTCTGACGACCGCCAGCAGCAAGCAAGGTGGTTTAAGTGTCAGAGTCAACTTGTCGTTTACTGTCGTCAGGGTCAGATGTTGTAAATGTTACTTAGTAAACTCGTGAGTAAAGCTGTCTTCCAGACGTCACGCCACTGCGTCGTGTCCTTTTGCCTTTCAGTGGCAGCTTACAGTGGTGCTAGTTGACACCATTCACTTACATTGTTTATGCTAAGCTAGAGCTAACACTCAGTAATATGGTAACAGACTAAATCCCACTTACGAGTGGAATATCCCTTTAAGAAATACACATTGAAAATAATTTATGCTTCTATTTCCATAAACAAGTGTTTTGAGTAAGACTTTGAGAGTTCAGAAACAAAAGCCCCCATGAGATCGTTCTCTTCACCATTAATACATGAAGCATGTCAGTCTTTAATCTTTGCAGGGTTTTAATTTGAAAAGCCACTGACCTTTTCAGAACACATCTGAAACGGTCTGAAGATGAACACAGCCAAACATCTGCAAAGCAATGCACAAGCCCTTATATTTGAATGTTTGTGAATTGACACATCACAAAATACTTAGTAGGCTACATACTTTTGTGCGTATTTCTTTAGATTTCCAAACAAGAAAACAAGACTCCTAAACAGATCATGCGACCTTGCCTTCAGAAATGGCGGGTAAAGCAAAGCATGAATTTGGACGTTGTTCAAGAACCTGTCACATAGGTTTGTTGTGTTGTGAGTTGTGATTTGACCCCTGAGCAAGGCATTGGAAGTGGTCACTTAACTGCTGGTGACCATGACTAAAGGCAAGTAACAAACAGGGCCAATGCCTCATGCCTGGTTAAAACCACCAAGGAGACGAGGACCCATTCTCTGATGCTGCCAAGCTCTCACTCCCTCGGGGGGGTTAGCAAACTTACTTACACACACTTGACTTACACTGCTGCACAAGAATAATGGTCCAACATTAAGCCTTTGATCTGTCTTTCTGTATTTCCTTTCCAACATATTATAGTATAAAGTAGCCCCTTTTTTACATTAAAATGTGATTAGTACTGTTGGTTTAGCAAACTTATTGCCTAGAAATCTTTGGAAAATTATTTTGTGGACTTCTTTGGAACTATTAGGCAGTTTATTATTGGTCACTACAGTGGCACAGCTCCAGCATTAATTAACTCATGCATCGTTTATGTTTATGGCTAAAAGGTCTTCAAAAGCAATGTTCTGTTTCACCTCAAATCATCAAGAATGTATGTGTGTGTGTGCGTGTGTGTGTGTGTGTGTGTGTGTGTGTGTGTGTGTGTGTGTGTGTGTGTGTGTGTGTGTGTGTGTGTGTGTGTGTGTGTGTGCGTGCAAGTGTGCAAAAGCATTAGCAAAAAATTGTAAAACAAATAAAGAATCTTTATGCACGCATGTGGAGGTCAGTAATTGCCAGAGGAGCAAATAGGGTTTTAAGCTAATATGATGGGTTTGAGTGCTCTATTTTCCATAAATGGCACCTTTTTTTGTGTGTGGGGGTCATTTTATGAAGGCCATTACACCTTATTGCTTGATATTTTCATGTAGAGGAAAGATGTTTTGTACAAAGTTTTTCATTAACTACAAAGATTTGCAGGATATATGGAAACAGAGAAATGAAGGTGTTATTCTTTTGAACTTATTGAAGTTTTGTGATCTGAATTTATTTTGGGGAGTTAAACTAAGAATTGTATTTTACACCTTTTTTTGTAAATAAAGTGTAAAGACGTAAAGCCGCATCAATACAAACCATTTGTCATGTCTTGTGTTTTCAGTATTTTGTTAAATTCAATGAAAAACGTAAAACCCTCTCTTTAACTGTAACCGTTCATGTTATGCACAATTAACTGATTGCTAGTCCGACTGCACCACTCAGACGGATTGATGCCATTTTTAAACATGTTCCACAGAATGCTGTCATTTTACCATTAGTTATTTTTGCAGAAATATTAACGACTCATGCTGGAGGGGAAATTTATGCTCATAAATAACCACAGAAATCCATGAAATTAACTATGTCAGACCAAAAAACTCACCCTACTCGCCTAGAATCGGTCACTTTGAGTTTTTCATGCAGGCTGAACATGAAAATAGTCTCCTACACCTATCTCCTGCACTAGCTTCAGAGAGAAAATAGACGGTGAAACTCTAGGATTTGAAATGTCTTACTGATCTACATCACGCTGTCACTCAACATTCATGGACTCACCCACCTTGACTCGAAACAAGGAAGGCTGTTGTTGGATTAGTGTCCAGGAATCAGCAGAGACCATCTCAGGTAGTAGAAGCTAACTTTTAGCATTAGCGACTCCACCTCACACCAGAACTCCACGCTTGTAGTTTTGAGATAAAACATCAGTGTTGCAGAGCAAACAGGGTCAGTAGTACGTAGAGTTGTGTTGCCATTATCCAATCTGAGGTGAGATGTCAAAATATCATGAAATAGAGTTCAAATTCTGGCATCTGAAGCTACTTTCCCCTCCAGTTGACTTGTACTTCCTGAAACAGGCGCGTCTGAGTTTTTTTCAGGTTGAAAGGCATTCATTCCTTCTAGAGACCACTCCAAATGATTTGATGTATTGATTAAACGAGTGTCCCACCACACCATTCATAAGTTATATCTTGTCCCTTATATCTGAAAATATGTCA